CAGATGAAAATACCTTTAATGAAACAGTAAATGCATTTGTTGGGCTTGCAGCTATTCAGGTAGGAAGGATGGGTCTGCTTTGGCAAGCAGCTTTGATGCACACAAGCTTTGTTACAGAGTGGAGATTTATTTTAGTCGTAGTCTGGTGCAATAGTTCGCAGTTGTAGGAACTAGGCTGGTGGGATGCTTGAAAGATGGGTTGGGTGACGTGATACTTCTGCAGTGTTTTGAATTTCAATCCCAAATAGATTATTATAGCAAAGTATTATGGGAATTGTAATTAAAAACATTTGAAGGGTACCTAGCCCCAAGTTAATGTCATTTCAACCCATAGAGATTAATGTTCAAACCTTATTTATCATAGAGTTGACTGGGTGACTCATTGTGACTCATGCTGAGTCAGGTACTTATCTGTCAACTTTAAGATGAGAACAAGGAGAACATAATTTCTGTCTTGAGCATCATGAAGGAAAAATAGAAAACAAGATATTATATAATAAACACTAATAATGTCACATTAAGGCTTAATTGCAAGTATACTTGAAAATAGACTTCTGCCTTAACATATGCAAGAATAGGGCTTTTCAACCCGTGGTACGCATACCACTAGTGGTATTTCGGCACCTGGCAGGTGGTACGCGTATGATTAGGCACTCTTAGGAACTGTGCACTGTGAATAATAGATGATGATGCTCACCTGAATAGGCTTGCCGGTGCTGCTTCCCATATGTAAATCCAGCAACAATATTCTCTCCACAGATTGCACAAATTGATGTTTTAAGGGCTGCAGGTTTGCAGCCTGATGGGATTATTGGTCACTCAGTCGGAGAACTGGCCTGTGGCTATGCAGATAACTCCCTAACACATGAAGAAGTAATTCTCTCAGCTTACTGGAGAGGAAGATGCGTCAAAGAAGCAAAATTGCCACCAGGAGGCATGGCCGCTGTTGGTAAGTAAACGTTTTTCATGAATATTGAGAAAAAAAATCTGAGTTATAACTTGAGGAGGGAATCCACACAGCACGCTAATTCTTAAACCTGAATTAACACTATCACATCCATATAATGCACTGTCTCCAAACCAACTATTTTATGGCTTAGGGAGGACAACCTGGTTCACACAATGGACTATAGCTACTGAAACCGTATTGCCTTTTATCTTTTATGCAAAGAATGAACAACTACAGTTATCGTAATGGTTTGCTTTCTTTATACCACTATGTTCAAATAGCCGAGTATTCCAGTGTATTCTGATACCACATAAAACTGGTGATTCTTTTCTGTTTCTACTTTGTCTGTTTTGAGAGCGATCATAGAGCCCAACTTTTCATCCTGCCACCTTTCTAGACATGTTGGATTATAACCTTGGTTATTTATGCAGCATAGTTATGACGGGAGTTTGGGGAAAGTTACAACATACCGAAGAAGCTTTTACAGAAACTATTGAAAATTATCAGTAGACCTAAAAGGCCAATGAGGCATTTTCCTTATGTTGTACTGATCTTTAAAACTGCTTCTTAGTCATTGATAAATCTGGATTTTTAAAATGTCAATCAATTTACCGTAGGCAAGCTGTGCTTATTGCTGTTCAGTCACCAAAAGAAAAGATTAACCTACTTCATCAGGCTATTGGTATTTGAAGTTGTAAACCTTCTTTGCTGGCAACAACTGTTGCTATAAATACTGCTATTGTCAATGAGTTTAATTTAAAAGGATGTACAAAAGAGATTTTATGCATCATCCCATAATTTCGCTGGGGTGTAGGATGGAAAATTGGCTCTCTAATTATATGGAAACGAGCTTTGGCAAGGGTTAAACCTCAAAGGCTCAGAAATAAACGTCTATGGCCTTAAGAAGATCTAGTTCTTTGTGTATTAAGCAAGAGCACGAGTTGGATTTAGGTATTACAAAACCCATTAAAGATATTGGGCCTGTGAGATTCTTAACAGAGGCGAATACTGTACCCTGTGCTTGAGTAAGAAATTGGACTTGAAAATTATATTTTATTTTTGTTGATGGAATATCACAAGAAAGAAGAGCCATCAAAAATATATGCTAGAAATAGTCATTGATTCCCAACATGCCCACGCATCTTTTTTTGGTTGAGCTGTTGTCTCTAGTCAACCAGGTTTGGCAACTTTGTGAAACTATGGATACATCTGCAAAACTTGTTTTCCAGAAGCAACTTGTCAGTAAAGTGTGTGTGCTTTATGGAGTATAGTCCTTCTTTCAATCTTTCTTTGGATTATCAAAACAGGATTCCTTGTCCTCTCACCCAAGTGCTATTTCAATTAATTGATGTTGGGGGGGGGGAGTGTTTCCTCCTGGCATGGCTGTTTCTGGTATTGTTTTCTTTTGTTTATAAACCTTGCAAGTGGTTCAGAATGGTGTATTAGTGGGCAGCCATAGAAGTCAATTAATAAATGAGTGAACATTCCTTCTTGAATGTCATGTGTCTGGTTTGATATTTTAGCATTTTAATTTAAAAAAAAAATACTGTATCAGCCACTGGAATGAATTGAGATTGCTGCTTTTGCTGGTTAATTGAAGCAACAGTTGGCAGCCTCAATTAATTTTCTTAAGTTTAGTGGAATCCGAGCTTGCCAGAAAATGTCTGCACCTAAGGACAGTCCACAGTTGTGTATGTATGGCTTGTTTTAGTTATTTGCATCCTCCAGTTCAACAACGCAAACCTTGCTGAATTAACATGATATAAAATGTTTATAAATGTTCAGTTAACACAATATAACATATGATTTAATACAATATAAAATGAAATATAAAAGGCCCAGTTTTGGACTAGAACTTGTAATAGGAGAGAGCTTTGCGAATTAGTTGACAATGTTCCAGTATGGAAGTTGGATGATAAGAATAGAGCAGCAATGGTGAACCTATGGTACTGGTGCCAGAGGTGCACTCAGAGCACTCTCTGTGGGCACACACACCGTCGCTCCAGCCCCGCCTCCTCCCACGCCCCCCTCCTCACCAGCAGCCCACCCGGAGGAGAGTCGCCCCTGGGCGCAGCCCATACGAAGCAGCGCAGCCAAGGACATGGTAGCCAGGCAGTGGGAACAAGACTCCGCCCTTGCGCCCCATCGCACGCAGTTGATGCTGCGGGGCACGGGCGGAGGGCATGGCCACCATGGTGCTGCTGGGCTGCTTGGGTGATCTGTGGCGGGCCGTGGAGATGGTGGGTGGTCCAGCGGGCAGGGCAGAGCGGGGACGGGGGTGGGGTGGGCAGTTTTGGGGCACTCGGTCTCTAAAAGGTTCATCACTGGAATACAGCATATGAATGATGGCATGTGTTTTAGATTGCACTATTTGGGTATAGTATGATCAGATGCTGTTCTAATTGGGAGCTTTGAGAATGGTAGCCCAACATATTTGATATCAAGGGAAAACTTTGTGGCTTATATTTATTCAAAAATGTGAGGACCCTGTTCTAGTCCCTAAACTGTATGAACACTTAAAATGCTCATTTAACCTCATTGAATTCGACTTATCTGAAGTAACCTCTCCTTTTCAGGTCTGACATGGGAGGAATGCAGGGAAAAGTGCCCTCCAGGAGTGGTACCTGCCTGTCACAATGCCGAAGACACTGTCACCATCTCAGGCCCTCAGGTAAAATGGCAGTGTGAACTATATTTCAAATGTTGGCATTTAGGGTATTAGCTGCATGTCCTCAATACCGTCTCAGCTGGGTCAACTGGATATAAAAGCTCAATGCTGTTCAGCTAATTAAACTCACTTGTATTTATGAAAACTCTTAGCTTTAAGAGTTGCCAGCAGGCTGTGTGAATGCTAACCAAGGGTCACATTCAAGATGAGGATTATGGACTGCCTTGATTGCCTTCTGGATAGAACAGCAAGATAGAGGAGAGTAAATAACATAGACTAGCATATAGGGAGAAATAATATTATTTCATTTTGTTTGGACAGTTCAGGAGAACGTGTAAGAAACAACAGTGTTAGCTCCTGGAATACTTAATAGTTTGTTTAATATTAAATGTAGACTATCTACATTGGAGCTTACTTCCATTACATTGGAAGTAATGGATGCCCTTCAGGCAGCAGGGCCCAAGTGCATGATGCAAGTAACTCTATAAACTATTGGAATAACTCCAAATGGTTATTAATTTTTGCTAATTTTTTTAGGAGGCTGTAACCAAATTTGTGTCTAAATTGAAATCAGAAGGTGTGTTTGCGAAAGAAGTGCTGAGTGCTGGAGTTGCTTTCCATTCCTACTATATGGCTTCAATTGCACCAGTGTTGCTGAGTGCCCTGCAGAAGGTAATGCTCTGGGAGGACCCAGCACTGGGGAGGAGGGGCTCTGCTCAACAGAAGTGACATCCAACGTTTGCCTGTCCTTTTATTTGGTCCTTTTAGGTTATCCTAAATCCGAAGCCTCGCTCATCCCGCTGGATCAGTACCTCTATCCCCGAAAGCCAGTGGCAAAGTGAGCTGGCTCAGAATTCCTCTGCTGAGTATCATGTGAATAATCTTGTCAACCCAGTCTTGTTCCAGGATGGTCTGAAGCACGTTCCAGATAACGCAGTGGTAGTGGAAATCGCTCCACATGCTCTTCTACAGGTATTACTCTTGGGGACTACCATGAGGAAAAGTTAGTAAGAATATCCTGGGGCCAGTCTTCCCAAAATTGGTGTCTCCAGATGTGTTGTAGTTGAACAGTCTCAGAATTTCCATCAGCTGAGTATCTCCTGAAGCACCCGCTTGTGGAAGTCTGCTGGGTCTTCCTCACCAGTTCATACTTTCCTCTGTGTTTCTAAACACCATGTAGCTTTCCTGCACTTGCTTTAATTTGCTGCTCAGCATTCATAATACTTTTTGAAACCAAAAGGGGAGAAGCCATTTAATTAATATAATTTGGGAATAGAAAATGGAGCAGAAAATTAAATCATAGCCATCTGTCCACAACTATTCAATCATGAATATCTACAAATGCCATATATTTTGTAATACTTAGTGTTATAGGGTTGTGATGTGGTGTTTGTAACTCATAGTCAGTTTGAAAGGTTGATCGTGCTGGTTTTGTGCTGCTCAGTGGTTTCTAGAAATAAAGTCTCTGTAACTTTTATCTCTAGGTTTCCCAACTGTTCTCAGAAAATTGAGTTAGAGCAATTCATTTCTTAGTTTTTATGAGGAACAGAATTGCAACATCTAAAATCTTTATTACAGGCTTAGATCAGTACAGCTAGGACAATAAAAGCAATGGCAACAAAGGTCCAATTTTCGCAAGTTAGAGTTAAAATGTGCAAAAAGTGCCAGGCTTGCATATTCAACTATGGGCTAAACTAGAATGGAGTTACAAGAGTACATTGACTTTCTATTTAAACTGCCCAGGCAATTCTTAGAAGTTACAATTTGGAACGTACCATGAAGTTTCAGGACACACTCCCTGAATTATTTATTACTGTAGTTATTTATGTGTTTAATTTTTTTGGCTGTCCACTCACCAGGAAACTAGGACTCTAACAATACAACTCTATTTATGCGACTTTAAAGCCAAGTACATTGGAATTTACAGATAGTCTTCGACTTACAACCATTTGTTTTGTTTAGTGACCATTCAAAATTACAACGGCACTGAAAAAAAGTGACAATTTTCACACTTATGATAAGTTGCGGCGTCCTCATGATCACATGATCAGAGTTTGGACTCTTGGAAACTGACATGTATCTATCATGTTTGCAGTGTCCTAGGGTCATGTGATCACCATTTGTAACCTTCCCAGCCAGTTTCTAACAAGCAAAGTCAATGGGGGAAGTCAGATTCGCTTAATGACCGCATCATTCACTTAACAACTGTACGGATTCACTTAACAACTGTGGCAAAAATGTTATAAAATGCAGCAAAACTCATTTAACAACCGCCTTGCTTAGCAACGGAAATTTTGGGCTCAGGTGTAGTTGTAAGTCAAGGACTACCTGAAGTGGAATTTACTCCTAGATATTCACATATAAGTTTACATCCTTGAGAGACACAATTGCTTTTCTGTTTTGAAAGGACAGGAAGAATAGCTTCAGAGGTTTACAATTCTGCTTACCTATGTGGTTTTGGTTTCTTAGGGGTTTTTTGTGTGTGTGTTTTTGAGTGAAGGTTATCAAATTTTGTCTTTGCTGCAAAACCGCATTATTATCTTGTGTTTCTAAGTTTGTTTGGAAGTTTATCCTGATTTACTGG